GCGTCTTGGTGTGGATTATATTGATCTCTACTACATACATCGAATTGATACGACTGTGCCTATTGAAGAGACAATGGGAGAACTTAAAAAGCTTGTCGAAGAAGGAAAAATAAGATATATTGGGTTATCTGAAGCTAGCCCAGACACAATAAGAAGGGCTCATGCTGTTCATCCCATTAGTGCTCTACAAGTAGAATATTCCCTCTGGACTCGTGACATCGAAGAAGATATAATTCCAGTCTGCAGGGAACTTGGGATCGGAATAGTTCCATATAGTCCAGTAGGCAGAGGGTTTTTTGCTGGGAAGGCTATAGTGGAAAAGGTGCCTCAAAATAGTTCATTGGTATGTGTGCATCTCTTATCTATTAATTTTTATTGTGTAATTTCTTCTTTTGAAACCAAGATGATTTAGTAGTCTCTTCAATTCAGTTGTATTAGCTGAACATTACCTAATTATCGTGCCTATAGGAACATCACCCAAGGTTTAAGGGAGATAACTTTGAGAAGAACAAGGCCATTTATTTTCGTATTGAAAAGTTAGCTAAGAAGCATGGATGCACTCCTGCTCAACTTGCGCTCGCATGGGTTCTTCATCAAGGAGATGACGTTGTACCTATTCCAGGAACCACAAAAATAAAAAATCTTCATGAAAATATTGGTTCCGTGAAAGTGAAGCTTACAAAAGATGATTTGAAAGAGATATCCGATGCAGTTCCCATCGATGAGGTGGCAGGGACCAAAACTCATTCGGAGGCCCTTGAAAAGAGCTCTTGGAGATTTGCATATACACCACTGCCAAAATGAGCACAGCAGAACGGGAAAATATTTTTATCTTAATGTCTTGAAAGAACGTGTGCTTTTTGGGGATAGTTCTAGCAATTTCATGTACTTCGTATAACTCTTTCTCGGGTCAATAATTTCAGTACTGTGTTTCTTGAGTTTAAAGTCTGTCCTTTATGCTTAATGCCTAAATTTTGTAAGGTATTCTCTAAGGTTTTGAAGAACATAGAACACATATCCCAGCTACAATATCAGTATTTTAGTTTGTGATCATGTTTCCTCCTTTATCGTTGTGGCGTGATATATTACAAATTATGTTTATTAATTTTACTTTGGGCCAACTCTTTGGAAGATGTTAGTAGATGTATCAAGGAATTGAATTTTTTTTTAACATGATATCAAATTTGAGAATTACCAAATCTCAGAACTCAAAACAATTTTGGGATACACAAAACGTGTGATATGTCTTTTAATCTAAAAGCAGATTTATGTATAATTTCTGCACAACGTGACCATCTTAACCCGCCCCCAACCCCCACACTGCCTTAGACGGGCGGGAGTGGGGTGTTTGTTGTCCCGTTTATTTTTTTAATATATATATTTATTTTGTTATGTTGTTATTAGAAAATAAAATACAAACTGAGACTTTTTAAGTTTAAAGCAAATAATGCTTAAATTAACAATATTTTATTAATTTATTTTTTTACTTCACGGTTCCTGCACCCCCAACTTGTCGGGACGGACGATTTTGTTATCTCTAACTAGTCAAGTTACAAGTAAATGGCTCGAAAGAACTTTGCCACTTCATCTCTACAATCAAGTAGGTTGTTGATTTCCATAATTGAATTACATTTCTTGATGTACAAAATTAACCACCTCATTCGCATTAATTTGTGAGCTATTGTTTTTTCATTTTTCCTCTCCGAAAAGAGAGTTTAATTTGATAGTAGAAGTCGAGTTAGTCAACATGTCCTTCGGCGGTTGTAACACTAACCGGCCATGTTTTATAGACTCGATCGATTGAGAAGGTCATTTCAACTGTGTCAAAGATTAACAGCTAGAAATCATAGATGGGTCAAATTTGTATCCAAATTCCGAAGTGACCAAATGACCCTGAGTCATCAAAACGACTTTGATTTTTGGATATTGATAACTTTCCCCTGCAACTCTTTTAATTGTGTGCGTACAATTGTTCACGATTCACACATTTTTATTTGTAATCATTAGAAAAATAGAAACACAAAGTAGAAAAAGGAAGAGGGGAGAGTTTAAATTAGACATTGACGTTCCAAACCTATATCATTAGGTGCAATAGGTCATTTTAGATGGATTCCATCCATAATGACAATTAGTTTTGGGAGTGGACTTAATATTCCATTTATTTCTTTTGATTGCGAGGGTAAATGTGGATAACCTAAATTAAAATAAGTTATAAATAAAATTAGAAGAAGAAGAAGAAAAGAATTTCTAAGAAAGTGATCTTCTTCTTCCACACTCCAAGAAAAGAATTTACAAGAATTTATAAAATGATAAAAGTAGTTATAATATTAAGATATAATTGTCATGTACTACACGATTTGCATATATCCTCTAAACTTCCCTTTAATCTTGTCTTGTTTAATACAAAAGTGGAAAATTGATACGTGAGAAATTGGCGCAAATGGTCCGAAACCAATATTCTTCTTTCATTTTTGGTTCCAAACCTTTAAATTTTGACATTGGCGCTCCAAACTAATGTCATTCGGTGCGTAATTGGTCCTTTTAAATGGGACCATCCCGACCGTCGGTTAGCTTTGAGTGTGGACTTCATATTCCATTTATTTTTTTATTGCAAGGGCATAAATAAAATAAGTTATTGATAAAATAAAAAAATAATAATAAGAAAAAAGGAGGAAAAGAATTTAGAAAAATGTTATCTTCTCCTACTTCCACCACACTCCAAGAAAAGAATTTTCAAAATTTATAAAATTGTAAAGTAGTTCTAATATTAAAGCCCCGTTTGACCCCCATTATCTGAAAATGAAAATGGGGGAATAATATTTTTTTTTAAAAATGAGTGGTTGAAAAAGAAGAAAAATTTTTCGATTCATGTGTAATATTATTTTATGGAAAATTGTGTGGTTGAAAATAGGAGAGAGAAAAATGAAATATAATGTAATTGAATTTAATGGGGATCAAACAGGGGCTAAAGATGTAACTGGCATGTATCCTACGTTTTGCATATGTCCTCTAAACTTTTCTTTAATCTATAAATTAAAAAATAAAAAATACTTATTGTGTATTATTATTTATAAAGTCTTTTATAAATTGATGAAGTGGCGATAAATTAAATTTTAACTGTCAAAATCTCTTCCATTTAAATGGCCGTGCTTGTGCAATGTGGGCCAATGGCAAAAATAAATTGGCAGATTTTTTTTTTTATTTGATTGGTGAGATTTTGACTCATTACATTGATCTGTTGATAAATAAATTTGTAAATTGTCATTTAGATATAGTACAACTGTTAGAAAATTGATACGTTGTCATTATTTGACTCAATTCAATACATTAACCTTAATTTGGATACAATACCAAAATTCTTAAACGTCTGAATTTATTCATTCCTCTCTATCATCTTCCCTAGGCACGTTTTATTATTATTTTTTTCATTTTGTTTTAAAGTTTTATTTGATTTTAGTTTATAAAATTTTTTATTTATTAAAAAAAACTTTCATTTGACTTTAATTTGAATTTTTAAAAAAAAATTATTTGTACAAAACTTAAAAATGAATTTATTTAATAAAGAGTTAAATAAGATTTTAAACTATGGCGCTATCTAAATTATATAATTATGATCTTAAAACTCATTATGTTATTAAAAACTTCGAAAGTTTGTATGAAATTCCTAGAAATCTATTAAAGTATGATGTGTCTAGTTAAAAATTGAAATTATGAAAAGTAGTCTTAACTTATGCACTTCAAAAACTTGAAAATTGTATAATTAACTAATTATATGAATTATTAAGTAAATATAGTGTTTTATAATTTTAGATATTCAATATGTATTATTTTAATTATTAAATAACTTTTAAAATGATTAAAATTTTAAAATAATATTAAAACTAAGAAAACGAATTTTTTCGCCTAGGCTCGTTTAAGTTTGTAAAGTTTGCAATTTCACCTCCACACCTAGCCACTTGTTATGCTTTTTAGAATACTGCAATGAGAGTTGGGTAAGCCAATAATAACTAAACTTATATATGTGTTTTCAATTGTTTATTGAAATTTTAAATATCGAGTTTTAACAACTAAACTTATTTAAATGTTGAACGTTATTCATTAACATAATATTTATTTCAAATCTCTAATGAAATTAATGACGTGGTTGACGAAACACCCAGGTGGCGTATCGTCATGCCGTTGCCAAATTGCCACAATGCCACGTAAGAAATCATCATTCATTGCTCACTAAACTTTGAAAAATGTTTTCAATTGCCTATTGAATTTTAAGGTGGTCGAAATTTGTTCACTAAACTTATAAAAAATGACGTTTGTGTTTTGTTCATAAAAAATATTACCGTAAGCGCACGTGCCGCATACAAATAATAAAATAGACAAATAAGCCCAGGTTGTTGATCCCATGAGAAATTATTATTTATACAAAATGGTTATATTTAATTTTAACAATGAAATACACAATAAATTTGAATTTTTCTAATGGTGAAAATAGTTTATAATTCTACAAAAACAACAACATGAAATATGCGCTTGCAGTACACATTATTTAGCAAACAACGTGCCGATGTCATTTTTTATACGTTTAATGACTAAAATTCGATAACTTCAAAGTTTGAGCAATTGAGGACCTTTTCAAAGTACAGTGAGCAATCGAAGACGTATTTTAAAGTTTAGTGTGCAAGAAATGTGCTTTCTTATGTGACGATTTGATAAGTTTAATAACCAAAACTCGATACAAGTTCAATGACAATTAACTCATCATTTGGATTTTTTTAAAAATGATTAGATGTTTCATTTTCGATGAATTAATGAAACTATTTTTAAAGGTTCCACAAATTTCCATAAAAATAATTTAGAAGTAATTTTAGTCTGTGTTTTTTCAAACGTTAGTCAAGGAACGATTCATCATTGGTAACCAGCACGCAATGAATCCGTGAAATCGCCCCTCCGGGGTTTTACTTTCTAGGTTCTATATATAGAGCATGTCTGTCTGAAAAATCTTATATGCCTGGCCATGCAACAAAATAAGAACAAAATGTGTAACTTGCGTCAGCTTGCTCGTGATATTCGAGCTTCAACTCTAAGGTTGATTCTCTGTTTATTGAGAAGGTTGAGTGCGATGGCTGAACAATCTTTGATGCCACGGGTGAAACTCGGAACCCAAGGACTCGAGGTATATGTTAAATTTGCTTAATTCAGTTTCGGATTCGATTTGTAGATCCAGGTAGATAGTAATTTGGCTGATTTTTGGAACCTATATGATTTTTGGGTTTGCCATAACTTAGTGGGATACGTGGTCAATGACTTAAATGAAACAAGTAAGTAGGCACATTTTGGAAGTGCCACAAAACAGAGCTTTTAAATTCATCTTAATTAATTAGATATGAGAAAATCGCATTGAGTGAGAAGGATAAAGAATACACTTTGTAGAATTCTTGCAGACTGATATTGTTAGTGCAATCCCACCCCACATAATGTTCCAGCAAATCGATTGGCAGACAATGCAATCATTAGTTCGTTTTCTTCAAATAATGTATTCTTAAATCTCATTGCTTCATCTAATGACCTGTTTTTCCTCTTAGGTATCAAGGCTCGGTTATGGCTGTATGGGGCTTTCAGGTGTCTACAATAATCCTGTCCCTGAGGAGGAAGGAATTGCAATAATCAAAGAGGCATTTAGTAAAGGCATTACATTTTTTGACACATCAGATGCTTATGGTACGAACAATGCCAACGAATACTTGGTGGGGAAGGTTGGTACTTTTCTAAGAAACTTATTCTTGATCATGGCATTTCATGATCACCTTTGAGTTGCCTCAACTTCGGGGATTCAAAATTTTGTAGGCATTAAAGCAATTACCTCGAGAAAAAGTTCAACTAGCTACAAAGTTTGGTATAGCTGGATATGATGCTTCTGGAGTTATAGTGAAAGGTTCACCTGAGTATGCCCGCTCTTGCTGCGAAGCGAGCTTGAAGCGTCTTGATGTGGATTATATTGATCTTTACTACATACACCGGATTGATGCTACTGTACCTATTGAATACACTGTGAGTGTTCTTGATTTCATTTTTTATAATTTTATTTAGCCCTTGTTTGAGCCACATTATTGGAATGAAAATGTATTTTGAATAGTATATTGATGGAAAAAGTGTGGTTAAGAAATAAGGAAAAATTTTGGATTTACGTGTAATATTATTTTATTGAAGAATGTATGGTTGAGATAATGTCAAATTACTATTGAAAAATTTATTTTTTTGAAAAAAATGTGGCTCAAACAAGGCCTTCGTCTCATACATCGATTTATTATGTTAGTCATGCGTGGATGTAGGGAGACTGGGCCAGGCTGCCCCAGCCCATTTAATTTTTGCTTTGTAAAAAAAAAAAAAAAAAAAAAAAATTATGTAAATTTTTTTTTTTTTAGATTTATTTTTATTACGTATTAGCCTGGCTTGAAATTTTATTAGTCCAATCCTGGATCTGCCCCGATGTTAGTGACCATTAACGACGGGTTCTCTTGGCTTGCACTCGTTTTTCTTATCATGCTTTACATTTCACTAACAAAATGATTGCTCTTGTTAATAAAATTGTTTTTGAGTCCCAGATGAGAGAACTTAAAAAGCTAGTCAACGAGGGTAAAATAAAATATATTGGATTGTCTGAAGCTCATCCAGATACAATAAGGAGGGCTCATGCCGTTCATCCTATCACTGCTATTCAAATGGACTATTCCCTTTGGATTCGTGACATTGAAGAAGAAATAATTCCACTTTGCAGGTTTCCATATTTCTTAAATATTTCTGTTGTAACTTTGATTAAATATTATACTTTCGGCTAACATTTTGGCAAATTGCTATTTAATTGGGAACTTATGAGCTGATGTTTAAATTTCATATTAGTTTTTCATGACGTAAAT